CACATCCCCAGCCCCAATGATGGGGATATTACTCCTCATCCCATTCTCCTGTGAGAAAGATGAAGAATTAGGATTCTTGGTGGCATCAGAGGCAGGTTACACAGGGGAAGCTCTGTGGTCCCCTTGGGACCTGGGTTCTGCTGCATCCACATTCTCTGTCCCTCTGTGCATATGTGTGTTTTCCTTTCGGGAGAGCTGTGAGTTCACTCCACTCCTGGGTGTGCATCAACAGTTGCCCCAACATTCCCACCATACCTCCATGCTCTGGAACATTCTAGCAGTGTTGTTCACAATCAGAAGGTGTTCCGATGCCTGTCGAGAATTGAAAAGGAGGGTGTGGCAGTCACACAGCACTATGTGGGGGCGGGAATGGATCTACAACCAAGTCCATAGCAAAGGGCATGCCTCTCAGATAAAAACGGAAGGAGGGTGTGCACCGTGTGACCCAATCATACCAAGAACAAAAAGGCCTAGGGACTAATCTGTTATTCCAGGAGGGTGGCTGGGTCACAAGGCTGCAAGGTGGCTGAGTCATGGTCCAGGTTCTGGGTGGCTACACAGGTGTACTTGGGCTGTGGATCTTCACAGGTCATTTACAGGCTTTTCAAATAGCAAATGCCAAAAAAAGATTTGAGAAAAACAGCAGCACTGATATTCCCCAGCACTGGCTTAGCTCAGTCCAAGTGCCACATGCCCCTTATTTCTGGTCTATAACTTAAAGCATAGTGAAGCACTTGCTAGATAGAGCCGCCAGAAATGATATCTGAATTGGGGCATTTTAGGTGAGATTCAGAGTCTTTCAAAGAACTTTGAGTCAGGATGAGGAGGTCACATGCCCCACATGTCCTTTGCTCCCTTGCAGCTTGGTGGTAAAACATGAGTCTTCAGGTTCCTGCAGGATGTGTTACCACACTCAGGCCCCACGGAGAGCCAAATGGACAAGACAAGGTCCTTTCTCTTGTGGAAGAAATGCCAAGTGGCCCTTAGAGACTGAATCTAGCAACTAAGTACCAAAATGTAACGGAACTCTCACTCAGATTAGGCATTCACTCTCAGAAGGTAACACTGGAAAATCTTGTCTGTCTTTCCCAGGCCTCTGTCTGAGTGTTCTGGTACTGAAAAAAATTGCACCATGATTTAGCAGTGCCCTTGAGGGCTTGGGAGAGAGGGTGGGCCCATGAGAGTGCAGGGACCAGGTGGGTGATAGGGATGCAGAACTCCTATGGAAGCTCAGTCAGTACCTGAACTGTGTATCCAACCTGCTGGAATTACAGCCCCAGTCCCAACTCCAGTGGTGAAGCACAATGGCCAAGTCATTATCTGGCAAATCAGAGACACAGAAATACTCTCGTTTGACTGCTGGTGTGACCTTCAGAGCAGAGTCACCAATCACCGCCAGCACAGAAACATTTCAGTAAAGCTTTTTGGGAACTGAACAAATCTACTTGCTTCCTGGGGTTATCAAATGGAACCAATTACATTTATGGAACATCTGCCAAAAATAATGCTCATTTGAAGGGGTCGGTAATTATGCCATCATTTCCAACGACAATCAGAGAGCAGGACAGACTGTCTTGGAGGCCTCTTCTAGTTCTGAGCAGCCCATCAAGCCATCCATGCAGAAAGCTCCCTCCTGTTCTCAGTGGCCTAGAGGACAATCATCCGTGAGCATCCAGTGCTCAGCTACAAATTATAAATAAAGAGGGACATGCGTGCCACTCAGAGGTCACACTGTGGCCTGCACCTGCCTCTTCTGCCCTGCTCACCACCTTTACCAGGTGGCCTGTGGTGCCAGTCTACAGAGGGTACTCATGGCTCTCAGTGCCTGCTAACTGCCTTCCTGTTGCCCCTTGTTGTGTGACCCCATCCCCAAAAGGTGGTCCTTTCTTCTAAGTCCGTCTCCCTCCAAAGCATCGCCCAGTTCTTACTCTCGTGTGCATGAGGTCCCCTCCCAGCTGCCCCTCTTTCCTCTGCCTCCTGCTTTCCTGGAAGCAGCCACAGACAGCTCTGTACGACTGTCCTACTCCTCTGCCCCACTTCCTTGGGGCTGGGGCAAGGCCTGAGCTTTGCATTTCTGAGTCTCAGCCCAGACACCATCACCTCAAAGCTCAACTGACAATAAATAAATGGCCATCGAGGAAAGAGCCAGTTTCAGACAACGAGCTGGAGTCACTGCTGTAAGTGGCCTTCTGATGGTCTGAGCATGGAGACCTTGGGAGGCCCGCTGTCCCTCAAGCATAGGCTGTGACCTGGAGCTGTGGCTGCAGCCTGGCTAACGTGACTACAAGATGCACAATATCCCAGTGTACGCCACCACCAGGCCTGGAGCCAGGTGCTTTCACATGTGACTGCAATCTCCTCCCACCTGTTTCTGAGAGGCAGAGCACAGGGGACCAACTGGCCCTATGCAAAGTCCTGGGCCAGCAGGAGGCTTGGAGCTCGATGTTCAGGGCTGGGGCCTCAGCCCTCTTCAGCACCTTTGGGCTGGGTGTGCCTTGCCTCTGGCTGCCTCTGATTTTTGTTTGTTCACAAATGGCGACAGCGTTGGGAAGTGAACTGTATTTCAGCAGGTGATGAATAGCAAGGCAATCACCGCTCCTACAGATGGGAAACTGAGGCCCCTGGATGTAAGGAACACACCCAGGTTCACACAGTATGCTAGGGCACAAGGCTGGTCACCTGACCTCCAGGAGCTCGAAAGCTTCCAGTGCTGGAGGCCATAGAGCTCCACCCACACCCCTGAGCTCAAATGAGCACTGGATCTAAAATTGAAACTGAGGTTCCTGGACCTTCCGGTTTGCCAGGAACCTGCTGAGCAAGTGTGATCCATAACTTCATGTTTTTAAAAACAAACAACAATAAATGCAAAGTCAACAAGTACAGGGCTCTGTGTATCAAAGAATAAGCAATGATGGCTATGGTCAGTATTTTGTACAACTTGAAGGAAAAACCTAATATAGTGCATACAATTTAGAACTCAGTGACTATCAAGTTCCTGCACACTGTCTCAAGAAGGGCATAGTCCTAGGTCCTGGAAGAGCAAAAGGGCTTCTTGTCCTTGAAGTCATAGCCAGTACAAACTCCTTAGGACAGAGTTTCTGTGAAGTTACCAGCAGGTCTGAAATGCATGTGTCCCTCTGCCTGGCAACTCTGCCTCAGGAGTTTATGCTTTGTGTCAATGTGCCAAGTATGAACGCACAGTTCTCAGACCCCAGAAACTTTGGTGTTATTAGAAGTTTGACAACATTGCATAATCTCCAGCCTCACTCACTACTGGTTTGTGATCTGCATTTCAGAGACTCCAGGTGATTCTCAACTTTTGTGCCAGTTTAAGTTTGAGAATCAGTACCCCAAGAATCCGTTAATTGTGTTACTGTGATGTGGGAGTAGTGCTACTCGGGGCTCCTACAGGGTAATTATGGTGCCCCAGAAAGAAAATAAAATGTGGCTTTAAGTGCTCAGCCGAACTCATTCTGTCATACATACTCCTTTCTTGAGCACCCTGTGCACCAAGCACACTCTGGGCCCTTGGGATTCATCAGTGAACAAAGTCCCTTCCCCTGTTCCGTTCCTGCAGCGGGGAAGAGATGATGAAGACAAGGTATAATGAATAAATACGTGACATTGTATGACGCCAGAGGATAAGAATTACAGAATAAAGGGTGAATAGAGCAAGCAAAGAAAGATCAGTAAGCAATGTACTGAGGAGGGACTAGAATCACACTCTTAAATAGTGGGGTCTCCATGAAGCCACAGAAAGGACAGATTTGTGCAGAGCCTTGAAGTCATGATGGAGCTGTGAGAGAGGAGCCAGGGAGAAGAACATTCCAGGCAGAGAGGGGCCGCACGCTGCTTTGGGGCTACAGCAGGCTGGAGGGCACTGCTGGGGCCACCTATAGTGGCAAAGCCATGCAGCTGGAGTAGGTGGTGTCAGGTGGGCACTGGGCTAGGAGGCTGGGAGGGAACAGCTCTCTGGGCTTTTCTATGGCTTCCTTGTACTTTCCGCTCTTGTTTGAATAACCTCCATGTGTCTGAGTTATAGGTGGTCCATCTGACCATCTGTGGGGCATTTCCACCTGGTGCCCTAAGGCACTCCACCTAAGGATGAGCACAAGCACAACATACTCCCCTCCAAACCTGCCCATTCCTTCTATCCTGATGCTGCATCTACCTGGCCAACCAAGCCAGAAGCCTGGGAGTCGCCCGAGTCTCCTGATCTCATGCCTCTGCACCATGTCAATCATCAAGCCCAGGACAGTTGACTCCAAAGCCCCTCCCAAGCCCTGCCACTTTTCTGCATTTCCTGGGCCTCAGCTCCAGTGGCCTCCAGAGTCTCCAGCTCCACAGCCTCTGCCCACCCCCTCTTCACCTCCAGTCTTGCTTTCCTGCCACCACCCCACTGTCACAAAGACTCTTCCAGAATTATTTTCTGAAAGAGTCAATCAGATGATTTTTATTCCCAAGTGAATACTGCCTTTCCACCACCCCTCACCTGCCAGAGCCTTCCCTGTGGCTCTCAAGCCTTCACTCATGAGGACTCCTC